TTGTCTTGTTTTTACTCATATGCATCTTGTATTGCCACCCTTCACAAGTTTTGTTTTTTACTCACATAATGCCTCTTGTATTGCCACCCTCGACAAAATGTTGTCTTATTTTTTACTCACACAATGCATCTTGTATTACCACACTTCACAACATGTCTTGTTTTTTACTCATATAATGCATCTTGTATTGCCACCCTCCACAAGTTTTGTTTTTACTCACATAATGCATCTTGTGTTACCACCCTTCACAACATGTCTGTTTTTTACTCATATAATGCATCTTGTATTGCCACCCTTCACAAGTTTTGTTTTTTACTCACATAATGCATCTTGTATTACCACACTTCACAACATGTCTTATTTTTACTCACATAATGCATCTTGTATTACCACCCTTCACAAGTTGTCTTGTTTTTTACTCACACAATGCATCTTGTATTACCACCCTTCACAAGATGTTGTCTTGTTTTTACTCACATAATGCATCTTGTGTTGCCACCCTCGACAAGATGTTGTCTTATTTTTTACTAACATAATGCATCTTGTATTGCAACCCTCCACAACGTCTTGTTTTTTACTCACATAATGCATCTTGTATTGCCACCCTCCACAAGTTGTCTTGTTTTTTACTCATATAATGCATCTTGTATTGCCACCCTTCACAAGTTTTGTTTTTTACTCATATAATGCCTCTTGTATTGCCACCCTCGACAAAATGTTGTCTTATTTTTTACTAACATAATGCATCTTGTATTGCCACCCTCCACAACATGTCTTGTTTTTTACTCACATAATGCATCTTGTATTGCCACCCTCCACAAGATGTTGTCTTGTTTTTTACTCACATAATGCATCTTGTATTGCCACCCTCCACAAGATGTTGTCTTGTTTTTTACTCACATAATGCATCTTGTATTGCTACCCTCGACAAGTTAATTTGCAAATGCTGTAATTGTTTAATATGATCAATATAATATAAATATACAATATAAATGTGATAACCTCTTTATTTGTGATGATTGGTAGTTCTTTATAACACAGTTTTCTTACTTATATAGTGATTTATAATGATTTAGTATTGTGTAAGACCTACCAGGTGATTATAGTCCCTACTGATCTAGAATTATGTTTAATATCTTCTAGAAAATCTTAATCTCCAAAGATTTAACATTTTAGGGGGATTATTCTGATCCATAATAATTAACAGTATTATCTGGCTTATCTGTGATTACTAGTAATTGGACTTATTATGTACAAACAATAGTACCCGTCCCCAGTGATGGGAAAAGTTTAAGTTAATCTATCAGTTTAAATTATTTCATGGACTTTAAAAAGGTAATTGTGTTGCACTCTTGGTTTCCCTCACAGTCAAAGTTCTGAGTTACTTATACCACCCACCATGAAAAGTAATTGTTGAGCATTTCAGTCATGCTACGAGCTACTCAACAATAACATACAGTAAATCTACATTTTTATTCTTTAAGTTATGTCACATTTTGAAATGTGAATGATAGTGTGATTAATTCCTAACAATTTAGTGTAGAATATCCTGTTTGCAAAATAAAATTTTGAATCAACATTATTCATGCATAGAGAACAGGCATCTCCCATCATTTTAAAAGTGAATGTTGAGCTTTGCCTTTATGCACAGCTTTTCAAATGAGCTCAGGAAGCAGCAACTGTAAACAGGAGACAGACGAATGTATGGACAAACTCCATGGTTCCTAATATATAACATAATAGTACACTAACCTTATTTCTTGTGACTTGTTTATAATAAATATACATCAACAACTTGTATTTTTCTTTTCTATTAGATGATCATGTCATCAGTACATCTAGTCAGTATTATGGGAAACAATGGAACCTTTAACAAGACTTTCCGACAAATACTAACGGATATAGAATTATTGTACCACGTAACTTACCTGTTTTTCTGTGTTCTAGGCCTGTGTATGCATCCATTTTTCTATGGTGTATTGGTAAGTGATTCTCCTAATCTTGTGATTTTTATTGTAAACATAATTTGGGAAGTTTTTATAACTATATGTGTACATGCGTATGTAGTTATTGTATTTTAAAGGGTTGAAATTTTAATGTTGTCAATCTCGACAAAGATGATTAATAAAATCAGGTTACTTTCTTTATAGGATTGTTCTTTTTAGGAACATGCTAAGTTGTGGAAAGAGCTGAATGGTGAAAGAGGCTTTTATAAATCTGCATAAACTCTTTACAGCTATTAAGTTGTATGTGAGTTAGTGATTAGCCAGCTGAGTTTCTGCCAGAAGGTCCAAAATTTAAATCATGATAAACTGTGGAACATACTCTGCACTTTCAAATGTGGGATTGTGATAACTGTGACAGTCAATCCCATTAATTTGTTAAGAGTATCTCTCTAGGCAGTTGATGGTGCTGAGGGGTTTCTCTCCCCCTCTGGTCAGCAATTCTAAATTATTGGTGACTTTGCCTGAACTTTGGAGTCTTTAATATGGCTGTTTAGCTTTCATGTAAAAAACAAAAACAATGTTAGATGCTTTCTGAAAATTAATAATGACTGTAGAACGTGTTTCTAAAAATAGCTTGTACTTTTTTTACTTTTAACTTTTGTTCAAGCTCATATTGTTAATAACTTAACAGTCAAGTTAACTTGAACAGCTGTTTAGGCTTGACATTTTTATTCAGGGATTCAATTCGTCTTTGTTATGATTACTTATTAAGTTGAAATGCTGTATTGCTGATTAAGATTGATACTCAGATTCTGCAGTATGACCCGTCTAATGGTGGGTTCAAAGTAATATTAAAAAAAAGTTCTATCTGTACTCCAAATTAAAGCTAACTGAAGGATTGTTAGTTTGATAGTATTAACAACAGGTTGTATGTACTTAAGACAAGTTGCATGTTTCACAATCAACACATGTTCGTGTGGCTAAAACATTCCTTGTTTGAAGTTAATGACATGTGAATAAATCATTGCTGTGATATTTTATTACTTTAGTAAATACTAATAAGAGCTTTTTTTTCTGCTAGTAATTTACTAATTACTACCAATTCAAAGTGAGTTTTAGTTTTATTATTTCTAATTATGTTTAACCTGTCAGTAGTATCTTATTGGTGTGTTATTTCATTTTGATTTCATATCTGTTGAAAATAAGTTTTGTAAAGTTTGAAAGGTTTCATAATTATTTTATTTAATATGAAAGTGTTAAACAATACAAAGTGATATAATGTATTTCTTTTTTTATATATATAAAAAAATAACATTCCATTTATTTTATGGAGTAAAACACAACTGTTTTTTTCCATATCAATTTAAGCTGATTTTTTTTTCTGTGGCATGTTAAAAAAACTCCATTGACATAGCAGTTTATTGCTTTTACTAAAACAGTATTTTTTAAAATAGAAAAAGCAACCTTTAACTAGGCCTACCTGTATCTGCTTGTGCTAGATAAATAAACCTGAAGTTGATTAATCAAAGGTAGTATTTCCAATTATTATGGGTTTGATTATTCCAAAAACTGATTAATTGAAATTCTAATCATATCATTTATCACAAAAATAATCAGTTAATCAAAATTGTCGTTTCTGTTTATTATCATTTTCGATTATCACAACCACCCAAATAATTGACAATTGCTATTACTTTTATTTATTGTTAAGCACAAAGCTACATAGTGGGAACATAATTTTGAACTGCTGACTAGTGGGAAGGCAACTGTATCCACCACTAACTTTTTCATTGTCGTCGTTGTTGTTTTTTTTGGACTGCTGACTAGTGGGAAGGCAACAGTATCCACCACCAACTTTTTTCATTGTTGTGATTGTTTTTCTTCTTGAACTGTTGACTAGTGGGAAGGCAACTGTATGGCAGCATCTGCAAGCAACTTCATTTTTTTTTTGCACACATGTACTATGATTTAAAGCTGTAGTCTAATTGATTATCAAATGCCACTAATAAAAGTACTTAAGTTATTGTCAAAGTTAATATTAAGCACATAAGGTAGTATTTAGGAGTGCTGTGGTCATTTGTATATTGTTTTTGAACGGTTTCTAAGCACTTTTGTATAAACAAGTGTACCGTGAAATTGTATACATTTCATAAATCAACAACAATAATATCTTTTTTTTTAATATACATTTTTACCTACATGATTGAATTGATGTTATAATATCTAGATGTGGATTTTTAACTCTTAGCCATACCCTATCAGTCAATCAGCTGTTTTAACACGTTCTCATCTCAGCTGGCTATGATCTTGGCTAATGGATGTGGTTTGCCATTTAATCATCTGTTTGAGAATTCCCATCTTCTAGATGTAGGTTTGACAATCAGTGAGGTGACTGATAATGAAATGTATTTGTCAGTCAGTCGGATGGGATTGATATTTAATTTTTTTATCTTTTAATGCAGTTGTGGGCTTATTGTCTTCTGGTGGGTGTGTTAATTTTTTTTTATATTCAAGTTTTTAGCTTTCAGGAATGGTTTGCAGTGTTAATGGTATCTTTTTTATTTTGTTTTTTAGCTTTTAGATGTAGTTTTTCAAGAAGAGACACTTCTCAATGTTATCAAATCTGTGACACGAAATGGGCGCTCTATCATTCTCACAGCCGTCCTTGCCCTCATCCTAGTCTACCTCTTCTCCATTATTGGATACATCTTCTTCCGAGATGACTTTCTAATGGAAGTGGATGAAAGAATTGTGCCAGAACCAAAACCAAAGTTACCAGGTAATACGAAACCAAATGACACAAATTATCAAGCACGGTGTTGAAGTTTACAGGCAACTAAAATATAGTCCACACAATGGAGGAGTCCTCTGAAATCTGAACAAGAGTTTTTTATATAACGAGAGTGATTATGTGTGGAAAGGACCTTGCTGATGTGTATACGAGTTTTTAGATAACCAGAATAAATACATAGGATTTTATGAAGCTCAAACTACAATTCCTAATTGGTCAGAGTAAGTTTAAAGGATTTTGCTGAAGCGTAAACCACAGTTTCTGTGTAGTTTAGATAATTACATAGAATCTTACTGAAGCTGAAAACACAGTTTCTAAATTGTTAGGGTAAATTTTGCTGAAGCCTAAAACACAGTTTATAAATTGTAAGAGTATGTAGAAAGGATTTTGCTGAAGTTAAAACACAGTTTAATTGTAAGAGTAGGTATAAAGAATTTTGCTGAAACCTAAACTACAGTTTCTAAACTGTTTAAGGTAAGTATAAAGGATTTTGGTGAATTCTTTACTCCTGTTTTTAAGTGTATTGTACTGAAGCCTAAAACACATTTCCTAAGTTGTTAGGGTGTTAAATTACATATAATTTTATATAGAGTAATAGAAATAATATAAAAACATTGCTAAATTCTAAACCAAAGCTACTCTTTAATTAAAGCACATAGAATCGTGCTGAAGATTAGACCAAAACTAAATATAAAATCCCAGCTTAATTTTGATCTGGATTTACTGTTTATACATGTAAACTATAGAGCACTTTGCTGAAAACTAAACCACAATTTCTAAATAGGTGGATAAGTACAAAGGAACATACTGAAGTCTAAACCAAAGTAAAAGATAAATAAACTAGACTTACCATTTAAGTAAAGGCCATAGGACGTTTCTGAAGCCAAAATCAAAGTTTTTGAGTTAAAATAAATTGGTTTATATGTTTGTTGGAACGTTAAAACTAGTTAATCTTGGGAAGGTAAATTAGTTTTAAAATTTACTGGTATATACAGTTAATTAGTATTTAATTTTAAACCAGAAGCTATAGAAAGTAAATACTAGAGCATAAATTAGTTCTGAAACGTTTCCACAGAGAAAACCTGAACTTCTAGTTAGTTCTACTTAGCAATACTAGTAGACTATTTTTTGTTGTACTGAATGAATGTGAAATACAGGGCTGGTAATAACTCAGACTGATAGGTAGTAAAAGAATTACCACAGTGATTTTTTTAGTATGAAAGTAACTTTCTAAATTTATAAAAACAAAACTCATTCAGTAGATGATGTGTGAAGTACATATGTTCTAGAATCATGTTTGGTTAGTCAATCATGTAGAGGCTTTATCCATGGTCTTAGTAAAACCCTTTTGATGTTGCTGTAGAATTTGTAGCTAAACATAATCCACCAGTGGAAGTGGCAGACCTTCTACCTAAACCAGAATTTTGTTCATCTGAAGAAGTAACCAACTGTGATAAAAATACAACACCAAGAGACAACAAGTATACAGCTCATAATAACCTATCTGGTACGTTATATTTCTTAGGTGATTTTATTTCAATCCATAGTTTCATCTTAGTTTAGAAATTAGCTTTCTCAAAGTGCAATTTTTTTTGGAATACTTTATTTCATTATAAGATATCTCATGTAAAAAAAATAAAAGGTGTGGGACTCTTGATTTGGTGGGTTATGATATTCAGTTTCAAATATATTTTTTTGTTTTGGTGTCATGGCAAAATAGCAAGTACACAACTCCGTTGTTAAGTTTTCTTATTGTTTGGTTCACCTTTATTTTGATTTCTGCTAGTGTTTGGTTTTCACATTTAGAGCAAATTAAAAACATAAAAAACATACACAGCTCTTAGGAACAGATATAACAAGTAATGCGTCCCCTGGTAGAACAGACTTGCAGTGCTAGAATCTGGGGTTTGATTCCCTGCAGTAGACACAGCCGATTGCCCAATGTCGCTTTGCTCTCAAACAAATGCACACAAACACGGTAACAAGGAATGCAGCTTTCAGAAAGGTTTTATGTAACTGTAAGCAACTTATGTATAGCAAATGGATTTTGTCAGTAATTCTGCTCTGATGTAGTTTGCTTCATTAGAAGGTGTTTACAGTATTCAACATTTTCTAAGCTCTCACTGTGGTTGGAAATTTTCACTAAAACATGTCATTGTAAACATTTTCCTAATTCAAAATTTTACTGTATGTATTAAAAATGTGTGTTAATTATCACTGATATCTTCTAAAACCTACTTTAATATAAAGTTAGGATGGGGTTCCGACCCTTAAGGGATGTTAAAGGAAGGCTTGTATCTGATGATTATGAGATGGCTGGGTTTTTTAATTTTGCTCTTTCTTCAGTTTTTACTAACAAATATTAAAACAGTATTCCACATTCTGAACAGTTGATAGATGGAAACAAATGATAGAAACAAAACAGGGTGACTGCATTAATTCTGAGCTGGTTAAGAAAAAATTGAGAGTTTAAAAAATGATAAGACTCCTGGGCAAATTAATATTTCCCCAAAGGTTTTGAAGGAGATTAAGGATTGGATATGTGAACCACTTGCTATTATTTGTTGTAAGACTTTGAATAGTGGGCAGGTACCAGAGGATTGGAAATTAGCTAATGTCATTTCTCTTTCAAAGGCTGTTCATAAAAATTGTCCCAGTAATTATAGGCCCATTAGCCCTAAGTCAGTTGTAAGAAACGTTTTGGAAAGTCTGATAAAAGATGCTTTGCAAAGTCATTTAACAAAGTTTAGAGTTTTAATTATAATAAATGCATGATAATGCTGGTGGGTTAGAATAATTTTAGTTAAGTATAATTTGGTTGGGAATAACTTTAACAGTGTCATGAAAGAAAGGGATCTTGATATAATAGTTGATCAGTCTTTTAAGCCATTTAAGCAGTGTGCTGTTGCTAGTGGTAGGAGAAATAGGATTTTAGGTTGTATCTACAGAAATATTGAATACAAGTCTAAAGAAGTTATACTTTCAATGTACATGTCATTGGTTAGGCTACATTGGGAATATTGTGTTCAGTTTTGGGCACTTATCTTAGGAAAGACATTAAGTTGTTGGAAAGAGTTCAGAGGAGGGTTACTAGAATGGTGCCTGGGATGGAGAGGTTGTCTTACAAAGAGAGATTGAGATTTCTCACATTGTTTTTTCTTGAAAAAAGAAGAGTTAGGGGGATCTGGTTGATGGGTTTAAGATTTTAAAGGGAATTGATAGTGTTGATGCATCATCTTTTTCATACTTAACAGTGAGAATAGTAGGACTAGGGGACACAAATATAAATTTTGTCAGGGTATGAGTCATCTTCAACTATGACAGTTTTATTTTTCTAAGAGGATAGTTGACCTCTGGAATGGGTTGTCTTTGGATGTTGTAGAGGTAGTAAATTTAAGTGAGTTTAAGAGAAAGCTCGATAAGTATATGAATGATATTGGATGGCTTTAAGAATTTTTTAAAATTTACTTAATAGTAGTATTTAGAGGATGGGACAGCCGAGATGGACCAATAGGTCCCATGTTGGCACAATGGATACAATATTAGTCTATTGCTAACCATTTAAGTAACTTAACTTAGAGAAAAAAGGATTCTTATGTAATAATTAATATTTTAAGATTATATAAAAAAAATATTGCATATAAATTATAAAAATGTATATATAATTTTTAATAGAATATTACAACAGGTTGAACTAAAATATAACTGTAATTTTATTAATACTTTTTTTTTGCATTTCATATGGTGGTGATTTGTGTGTACACAGATTATTTGTATGTTAAGGAATGTTAAAAGTTTTACCCAACCTCAGCTGGTCTTCCCTTGTTATAATTAAAGTCCAAATAGTTTGTTGATAATTCTCTGCTATAGAATTACCAAGTTGATTCTCAAATAATATTTCATTCATTAATAGCTTTATAAGAATGAAGCAATGTTAATTATCTAGGAAAGTTAGAATTATTATTAATCACCTAAAAGAAAACTTGTGCTTTAACCTTTAATTATCATTTGAAGAACAAAAGAAAGGATCTGTATGATATAAATATTATAGAAACTTGAAAGGTACTTCCATGTTAAAAGGTCTATTGGTGATTTTATTTCGCAAGAAGTTGATTTATAGCATTAAAGGAAAGCATCTTTGTGTAAAGTTGTACTACGTGTGTGTGTGTGTGTGTGTATGCTTTGTGCTTAATTACAAATAAACAAACTTTTGATTTTAGATGATTTATGCAGAGTTAGTAAGTGTCAATTCTCTACATGATAAGGACTGATATCATTCGTTCTTCGATGTTCTGCTTTGGAATATATACACACACACACACACACACACAATTGTTTTGTTGTAATTGTGTTGGAAAGGAAGGTAGGGGTACACAATAGTCATTGTGTTGTATTATAATTTGTAGTCTACTTTCTTTCTTTGGTGTAACAGACCATCTTCCAGTAGAGACAAACAATTCTTCTGTCCTAGATGTATTAGAAGAAGATAGTTTACAAGAGCCAGAAGTTGAGGGTGGAAAGGAAAGAGCATGTGATTCAATGATCATGTGTATTGTTACCACTTTAAACCAAGGGCTCAGGAATGGTGGTGGAATTGGAGACGTGCTTCGTGCTCCAAGTGCCAAGGTAGGTTTTAGAATTTCATGAGATTTAACTATCTCTCTCTTTTTTTTTCTTCTTTGTTTACTAAATACTGCTCTCAAGTTATTGTATTGCTGAAAATATTGTATAAATGTGAATAAAATTTAAAATTTGAGGCTGGTAAAGAAGAAATATAATGATGCTGAAATTTGTTGTAAACCCTCATTAACTGTGTATTATATTTCATTAATTTCATTTGTTGTACAAATTTCTAATTATTTTTTTTTTTTATCTTAAACAACTTTTATTTTTTACAGGCAAAGCAATATAACAGTGGTAGATGATTGTTATTGTGTTTTAGTTTGATATACTAAAATGGGAAAAATATCCTGTTCATTTAGATTAATTTTGAAAATAATGCTTCGTTAGATAGTTTTTATAGCAAGTTTTTAAAACTGGTAGTAGGAATGGGAGATCATTTATATTCTTAGTTTTCAAAATGAGTTAAAGCATTTGTACATTAAATTCTGATACTGAACTTTTGTGTTCCATAATGCCTAAAAAGTTTCTTAATAGTATATCCACAAAGCCTGAAAATGCAAGTTATATGCCCAGTTTCATGATACATGGCTAATCAGACTTGAAAACCCTTAAAACTTTATGCAACTGAACAGATGTATGCTCAATTATGTACGGTACTGAATGATGCAATAACTGTATTTCAATAATTGGATCGTACCCAGAAAATTGCACAACACATAGTACTTATGTTAAAAAATTGTAGAATACATAGTACTTATGTTAAAAAATTGTAGAATACATAGTACTTATGTTAAAAAATTGCACAACACATAGTAGTTGTGTTAAAAAATTGCACAACACATAGTAGTTGTGTTAAAAAATTGCACAACACATAGTAGTTGTGTTAAAAAATTGCACAACACATAGTAGTTGTGTTAAAAAATTGCACAACACATAGTAGTTGTGTTACAAAATTACACACCACATAGTAGTTATGTTACAAAATTACACACCACATAGTAGTTATGTTACAAAATTACACAACACAGTAGTTATGTTAAATAACTGTAGACTACATTGCTATACACATTATTTACCTAAGATGGCATTTAGCAGTTGTTCCAGTTCATATCATAAAGATAAATACCCAAAGCTATGAAGGCTTTGCAATTTTTATTTTTTCATCATACCTATTTCTGCAAGTGAGGATATGTTTCTGTTCTTGATTAGTTATTTAAAATAATTTATATTTTAATGGGTGTAATTAATTTGTCTTTATAAGAGCAACAGCTAAAGCTATTAGGTTTGTGGAGTTGAACTTTCTCAAATATCAGTTAGGGAAATTACACCTTACCTGTTACTTTATTTATTTTTTGTCACTTAGGAAAACAGTGTTATGAAAGCTAGATGTGAGTGCTTACTTTCTTATTCATAAAATATACACATTGTTGACTTATCCAGACTATTGTTTCACTTGGCCAGACTTGGTTATAGGACCCATTTCATTTATGCAATCAAATTTGTAGTGTACATGGTATTTCTTGAAGACTCACAACATTATAGAAACAAAGTAAAAAAATACATGACATTTATAGTCTTAAAACTCCAAGGAATAGTAAACAGGTATGCATGAAGATTCTGAGACCTACAACTGTTATTAGTCCGTGGTTAAAATCTTTAAAATACTTACATTCTTAAATGAGGGCTTTATTAATATTAGAAAAAGTCTTCCTCAACCAGTTCATCTCTCTCCAAAATTTTAGGAACCACTGTTTGCAGCACGGGTGGTTTACGATATGCTTTATTTCTTCGTGGTCATCATCATTGTTCTGAACCTCATTTTTGGTGTGATTATCGACACCTTTGCCGACTTAAGGAGTGAGAAGCAACAGAAGGAAGAGATCATGAAAAATACCTGTTTTATTTGTGGTGAGTAGGAATGATTGGTCAGTTTGTCTCGTCTGTGTATTAAAGTATTCTTTCTGCTGTTGCACACATTTCATTTCTAAATTGTTCTCATTGTTTTATGAAAGATAGAAATTTAGCCTCTGGTAGATTCAACAGTCTAATAACTCAAATAAAACTGATTCTTCTAATAATCCTTGGGTAATGAAGTTAAACTTAGAAAAACTGACAACCAGTGATGCTAGTTATGTAACGTGTCATGAACATTATATGAAGCAACGTAGGTGACCTTAGGTCTAAATGATCTTACTTAAATTAGAATTTAGCATTTATCTGTAACTTTTTATTCGTTTTTCGGCACCATCTTGTTTTATTTTAATAACATAAAATATCTATGAAAAATTTGCACTCTGTACTATTTTATAACTATTTTAGCAACAGACAGAAGAATTGACAGAACTTGATTAATTCCATCCATCTTCATTGTGTATAATCAGTTTTATCTTTAAAAAAATCTAATAAGAAACATTAACAATATACTAAGTATGAACGACACTTGTTTATAAGAATGGTGGACAAGAACATGAACTGCCTTTGGAATTGTTTCCTCCATCTTGCTTAGTCTCATGGCTGTAATTATCCTATTGCCAAATACCATAATTTATATTATAATATGGCTTCTGTGAAAGATGGGGAGGTCAGTTTTAAACTCAAGCCTCTTGAAGGACTTTTCACAAGCTATCTGCTGGACATTACCATTGATTTCCAAGACCAAGGTTATACAAAAATATATTAAAGAGTTACTTCAAAAGACTGAACAGACATGTGAGTAGTTGTGATTTGCTTGGGCCATTTTTCTCACTTAAAAAAAAAAAAAAATTTTCATTTTGTAGTGTGGCTGAAAACTTGTGAGTCTTATGCAACTTCGAAGTCCTTGATTATGATCTTATTAACAATACCATGATTTTTTGGAAAGAAGAGTTTCTTTTGTAAACAAGACTGTCACTTTGTAGTTGAGGTCACTGTTCCAGAGAGGTTTTGAAGCCATTGCTTCTTTTAGTATTGGCCTTAATTATAACAAATACTTTTGAAACATTTATTTTTCTCTTCTCAAAGGCAGACTGTAGAATGTTTTTAATATATCTCACAATACACTAATCAAAATTCTAGTTAAGTATAACAACTATTAAAAGAATGTTACATCTAATTAATATTTCTTGTAAATAGATAAATAACTATTTTGGAAGTCAGTTTCTTTTCTTGTTTAAATTATTTTCAGTAATAAAAACTTCAGTGTTAAATTATTTATATACTTAAGCTGCTTTTAAAGTTGTGATTTTAATAAGCTTATTGAAAGAAAACAATAAAGACTGTTTGTGTTAAGAAATATAAAATTGTGTTAGATGTAAAGAATCAAGATAGTGGTACTTTGTTTAATTGGCCCAATTACAACAGAACTCAAGCATTAATGGCTGTGGTCCTGTTGCCACAACAACAAAAATAGCACCTCATGCAGGTCAACAGTGCACTTCATGATACATACTTGCATTACATTTTGAAGTTCATGTGAAAATAAATTAATTTTTGTGTGTTTATTTTTTGTTGTTGCTTTTTTTGTTACATATGTGGAATATTCTAAAGAGGTACATTTTTTTTTCTCGTTTACAAATTCTGTAGTGAATGTGGTCTGTTTTTTAACCTCCTTAGATATATGTAAAACACTGTAATTTGTTGGAGTAAGTGTTATGAATGCATTCAACTTGTTATTAGACATCCTGTGAACAATCTTATACATTCCTTTACAAATATTATTGCACCATATAAGGTGCTGATACGGGCTAAAAACAACTGTATTTGTACGTACTGTTTCCCAACTAATTTACGGGAAATATTATATATGATATGGTAAAAAGATATAAGGTGACAAACATTTTATGTTTTAGGCTTGGAAAGAGCATCATTTGACAATAGGACTGTGTCATTTGAGGAACACATTCACTGTGAACACAACATGTGGCACTATTTGTACTTCATTGTACTGGTGAAAGTGAAGGATTCGACAGAGTTCACTGGTCCTGAAAGCTATGTGGCTGCAATGATCAAAGTTAGCACAGTTATTATGATTTATCTAAAAAAGAAAACATTTTTTTTTTTGCGAATGTGATATCTGTAGTAGTAGTATTTAATAGAAAATGTAAAAAAGGATGTTTGATTTATTTTTTTCATATATTGCTCTTAAATTTATAATTCTGTACAGGTGACTGTTTACTCATCTGTGTGTATAAAGTTCAGCTTACACTTGTATTAACAACAAAGTAAAAGATTGGTTTTTGTTAAGTGCTGGTACAGTTGCTCCATTTTCTTTTATTCTTAATACATGTTCCTTACCTTCAGTGCCAATTATTTTAAACTTGTAAGTTTGTATTGGAATATTGAGGAACTTAGTAAAATAATGGCTAATTCTTCACCATCATCAGTTTAAATGAACATTATTAATGTACTAAATTTTATCTAGCTAAGTACTTATAATAACTATTGTGTCATAAAATACCTACCCAGCTAAATACCCATAATAAGCACTGTATCATAGTGTATTAGTTATTAATCATAAAATACCCAACTAAATACCCATAATAAGTGTTGTGTCATAGTGTATTAGTTATTAGTCATAAAATACCTACCCAACTAAATACCCATAATAAGCATTGTGTCATAGTGTACTAGTTATTAGTCATAAAATACCTACCCAGCTAAATACCCATAATAAGCATTGTCATTGTGTACTAGTTATTAGTCATAAAATACTTACCCAGCTAAATACCCATAATAAGTGTTGTCATAGTGTACTAGTTATTAGTCATAAAATACCTACCCAGCTAAATACCCATAATAAGCATTGTGTCATAGTGTACTAGTTATTAGTCATAAAATACCTACCCAGCTAAATACCCATAATAAGCATTGTGTCATAGTGTACTAGTTATTAGTCATAAAATACTTACCCAACTAAATATACATAATAAGCATTGTGTCATAGTGTACTAGTTATTAGTCATAAAATACCTACCCAGCTAAATACCCATAACTGTTGTCATAGTGTACTAGTTATTAGTCTTAAAATACCTACCCAACTAAATACTCATGGCATGTTGTTAGCGTTTTTTCGAGGTAAGAGAACATTTTAAAATAACTTACTAATGGAGGTGATAAGAATATTGCACTAGAAAAAATCCAGTAATATACAATCCTGCAGCATTTCATCTGATAGCTTAAACCATGTTTATTATCAGTTCAGGTGTTTAAATGTTAACCCTTTTGTTTCAAGCAGCTAAGTGGCTAAACCTATGTGTCCTATTTTGCAGTAATTAAATACAGCCACATTTAAATACATTTCCTGTATTAACATAAATTTTTGCATTTATTTTATCTATTATTGTTAGTGATTCTAAGAACAAGAGCTTTCAGACATGAGCTTGATCTACTGTAGATGCAGGCTGACTGTTTTACTTATAGCAAGCATGTAGATTATTGTCCAAACTGTAGTTATTTGTGGTTGTTTGTCTTAAAACTGACACAAATCTGATTTCATTTGAAGAGAAATTTATAAATTCTTTTTTTTCTCTTTTTTGCAATGTTTGTTTGAAACTTTGAGATGATATTTTGAATGTTTATCTTGATATTATTGCTTTGAAGGATAGGAATCTAGACTGGTTTCCACGGATGCGAGCTATGTCCCTTACTGCTGATGACGGAGAAGGGGAACAGAATGAAATGAGAACACTGCAGGCCCAGCTAGACTTGACACAAAAACTTGTAGCCACTCTTTCTCAGCAACTAACAGAACTAAGGGATCAGGTATGTTTCAATTGCTTGCACTAGTGATTTTTATTGGTTAACATAAGTAGTTTCTCTGGAATTTTTAAATCTAGTTTTAGTGATTGCTAAATTTTTATATTAACCCTACCCATACCAATCGGAACCTTTTGGATGATGAGTGAACACCTGCATATCAAATTTCAAAATCAGAGTAAAAAGTAATAGTTTTAATTATGTTTCATATATTTTAGAATTTATATTTTGCCATCTCATAACATTTACTTAAAGTAATCTGCAAAGAATAATAAAAAAAATATTCTAACTTTAATTTCTTCTCAGATCTCTAAGAGCCTTGCCTGTAAACCCAACATTCCATGATTATTTTTTGAGATTTTTTTACACTCATCCCAAAGTATAGGTTTATATTTGTAAAGAAACTAATCCCTCGAGAACAAACTTACCCATGTCTTGTTTCTCAGATGATTTTCATTCTCTGTTGCTGACTGTGTTACTACAGTCCTTTTTTCCCCGTCCTTTTATGATGACAAAATCTTGTTGAAACGTTGTACATTTGCTGTTATGTTAAACTTATATTAAAGTTTTTCTTCATTACCCATTCAAGCCGTCTCCAACCATTATATGGTTTGAACAATTGCTAATAAAACTCAGCTTTAAAAGTAGTTGTAGAAGACATTTATATATGATTAGATAGAGCAAGTCATAAACCTTTTACATGAATGTGAAGTAGATAAAGTGATTCGAGTAGTATCTTGTTTGTTAAGAAAGTGACTATCTTGAGCTACTTTAGGGGTGAACAAAGGAATCTAAAGGGAAAGTTAGAAGACTTATGGAAAAAAAGATAAATTTGGGTTTTTTTAATAGTTCATTCAGATATTCTCTTTGTTCCTGCTTTTTGTTTTTACATTAGATTATGTTTCTTTAAAAGCTATAGAAATTTTCTTCCTTGAAAGGATATCAGGTAAGCTTGATTAGGTATAGTGAGTGAAATGGGCAATGTAAAAATATCCTGTTTATTCAATTCCTCATTTGTTGAATATTATTGTTTATCATGTTCAAACAATGAACACAAATAAAAGAATGTATTACTTATTAAATGAGAATTGATCTCAAACAAGATTATTTATGACAAAAATATTGTTCGCCTGGCAAAAGTAATGGTGTTTCCATTTTTAAAGAGGAATTGTTAGGTCACTGATAAATCTTTTTTTTTTAAGATAAAAGGAAGAATTTTTAAAGTAGTTGTCAAAAGCAGTGTCTTGCAACACATTTTTCTGAAACTTCGAAGCTTAAAAAAATTTTAAAAATACTAATAAAATAAAACTTGATTTTATTTTAAAAGCCAAAACTAGACACTATTTAGCAGTTTTGTACTAAGTTTTGTGAAATTTAGTTCTGTATTTCCACCGTGAGAAGAGGCATCAGTGGCGCACACTTATCTGAAAAGGGTTAAATGATTGATAAGAAACAATTATGGCTGATAAAGTGCTTTTAATATCTTGATTGAAAGACTTTTCTATTCCTGCAGATGACAGAGCAGCGTAAACAGAAACAGCGACTTGGTTTACTGGGAGCACCACCTATTGGGGCTTTGCCTATCCACACTGTGTCTAGTCAGTGAACAAATCTCACCTGATCTTAAAGTGCAAGTTTGTTTGATCTTATGAAATGTTTGAAATACATGTATTGTACATGGTATAGAGCATATACATCCTTCATGTTCAATATGTTGGAGGTAGCATTTACTCAGAAAACTGTAGAAAGTAGCTGTTATGTAGAAAGTTGTTAGAAAAATATACTAAAAAGGTGGTTTGAATAACATTAACTAGATTTATTGTCATTAAAAGTGCATCATTAGTGTACAGAGAGAACATTTTCATAACCAGTTCTGCTGTAATAAGTTTACAAGTGAATATGAAAAATCTGTTTGTAAACCGAGTAGCTACTTATTTGATACTTATCAGTTGAAAAATTTTTATTTACTGTCTGATGTACTTGAAAGCAATTACTTGTGACGTTGCCACACAAGTAATGTATAAAAATGTTAAACTTTGTAAGCTAGAATATGGATTTAGAATAGTGTACATGTACCTATTTTATGCTTGTTTTAGTCATTTTCAATAGACAAACAAGTAATATATTGTTAAAAACATTATTGAACAGAAGAATTAGTTGCTGATTTTTACATTGTTAACACAAATGTTTTCTCATTAGTATTATTGTAAAAGAAGGAATGAGTACAATACAACAATGTGTGTTTATTATTACTCTCATTTCTTCAACATAATTTTTCTAGCGAATTTATGCTGTATTTTGTTTATCTAAATGTTAACCTGTACGCATACACAAACTCTTGGAGTTTTATTATATAGTTGCATCATTTCCAATGATATGTAAATGAAACATGCAGCCTTCAGAGTGCATTTTTGTTCATTAAATAACTGCTGATTATTTAGATGTTAGTTTAAATAAGGTAAACAGTACTTAAAATCAGTGATATGTGTTCAGTGTGTACAAGTAGCTTATTGAATTTAAAAAAAAATTTGATAGCAGATTAAACTATGATTGACATGTAGCATAAAAAGAGGTTTTCTCTTTGTTTAATATGCCTTTAGAGAAGTAGTGTATCCCCCAAGTAAGAGTTGTAAAGTTTGTTGTGATCATAGTGAATTACTGCTATAATAATAATACACTATTTTACTCTGTTATTTTTCTGTTAGCTTTTGAAGGATTAGATTTTTAGCCCTAAAAGGATGTAAATAATACAGTCAGAATGATGTGATAAACTTTATATAGATGCCAAACCACCATTGAAACGTAATTTCAGGGCACGGATGTGAAATGCTGAGATGTTTTTAGTGAAGTAACGTTCTGAATAACAGTTCTGTATATACGTGTACTCTCTGTGAACCAGACTTTTCTTGTTTTATTCAACAGTGTAACTGAGCTGTGTGGACTGTATTTTATGAACTTCTTCACCCTAGCTTTGTCTTGAGATAGCATTTCAGATTCCTTGAACCTTGTGAAGAACTTAATATATAGCTGGAATTGTTGTTTCAAGTTCAAATCCTAGGAGATGTCTATGAAATGCAGTTCACATGTCAAAAACACTGCCTTAACTCTTCTTGAAAAAAGTGTGCCGAGGTTCTTGCTAATTTTTTGTTGTTATATTAAAAATATTTACAATAAGTGTTAGATTAAATTCTGAATAATCCTGTAGCTTTGAACAAGATTCATTGTATATTGTAGTGGAGAATCTTGTGTAGAAAATCTCGAAGTTTTTCCCCATCATAAGCTAATTTTCAACAGCTGTGTGTATCAGAAAAACAGTTATTGTCCAGACATATTGCTTGGTCACAAGTCAGTGAATCTAATCTTAATTTTTGCAAGCCCAAAAGTTGACACTTTATTACAACAGATGTAATTGTATTTTCCCAAAAACAGTTTTTCGTGACACATTTATCTTTAATGTGCTTGCACTGTTCTTTTAACCTTATAAGTGCACCTGTTCATTCATGTTCACTGCAAGAAAAATTACCTCCAAGTGTCAGAATACTTTTTTAGCATTTTGATTTTTCAAAACTTGAGTTGTTTGTATTTTGTCTACATTTTTATGTGTGAGCTTTCAGACTATTAAGTATTATGCATATAGATGAAACATTAAGGAACTGAAAGAAATACCCTTGAATGTGACAAGATGTTTTTGAAAGTAAATTACTTACAAGCATAATAGTTATTGAATTAGTTCAGCCTTTTCTTGTATCAAACATCTATTTTAAATAGATGCACTTTAAATTTCACTCCTTTTTTCTTCAGGCATTGTTTTATGGGTCCCTGATCTTAATAATCATTCAGTGATTTTTGGTTTGAAATGTCATGGAAGAACATAAGTATGTCCATTTAATTTTAGATTTTTTTTTGTTTGTGTTGTTTTAGATCAGAAATATTCATCTGTCTTTTTGTAGTTTTGGTAAGTTATCACCTTGTGTGATGGTATTTTAACATTTGTTATATTTTTTCTGTTAATAGGATTGTATGTTATGTTTGATTTGTGTAATTTTTAAACTGATTAATATTTAATGACTGATGTTAATATTATTTTCCTGGTGATACTTTTGGAAACTTGGATTTCCTAATGCATGGAGACTTTGTAACAAAGAGTTTAATTATTTGTTTCAGTCATTTGGCTTTTAATGGCCAAAACAATTATTATTTTTCATGGAGCATCGTTAGTGAAGACATACAAGGTCAGCTATGGTGACCATAAACATACTAGTATATTTGTTCTGGATATAAAAATTGTCAGTTAAAAGACAAAATATAGGTGTAGAATTTTAGTATATTGTTTGAATTAACAAAATAATTAATAGCATTATTATATACTGTGGTTTAACTTTAGACACATAAAAAATGCAAGTGATAAATGATACACTTAGATTCACTCCCGTGTGTGTGTATGCGAATTTGAAGAAACTAATATATAGTATGATATGACAGAAAAGATCATAAAATATAATGGATGTGTTACTGAAGTTAAATTTTCTGTGAAATAACATATCTGTATATAGATATGAAACTAGGAGTCCGTGTTTTGTTTTCTTCTTTCCAACAGATATTTTCTGTTTCAGTAGTTTCTAATCACATTTAATGACTCGTGTTATTTATGTTTGATATCGTGTTTAACAACTTGCATGAGTAATTTTAGGATCATTTTTTAACCTTGTTATTTTTGTCTTGTTTTGTTTAGTACCAACAAAGTATTTAGCTGCCATTCCTTATCAGTTATTGTTGTGACTATTTAAATAGCCTACCTAGTATACAGGTAACATTATTTGTGGGAGTTCTCTCATAATATTTCATTAGATTAGAATAAAAGCTCTCAAGAAGTAAAGACTCATTCAGTGCCAAACTTACATTGTTATATTGAATGAATTATGCTTGAACATTTTTCTTAGTTTGGGTGCTTGGTTTTTTCTGTTTTTTATTACCTTGTATTTTTTTAAGAATCAAATGTGTTTAAAAACTGTTGGAGAAATGAACAAAAAATCCATTATTTTATCCATTTATTATTAAAGTCTTGTTTTTATCTGAATGATAAAAGTTTATGATATCCACTTTATAACTTAAAGATAGTTTTTAGATAGGAGGAGTCATATAAAATTGTATTAGCTTTGAATTTAGTTTACTTGTAACAGTGACTTAGGAACACTTTTGTATAAAATGAAGAATGTTAGGCTAGGCTTCCATATGGGTGAAGTGAGGAGTACAGTCCGTTGTGAGTGAGATGTATTTCATGCAACCCAAGGTAATGTTGGTGTCTTCTTATATAAGGAATAAATATTGTACTGTGTGTAACCTAGTGGATACTATGCTGGTCTGTGATTCTGTGGCTTGCACCTTGCTATTCCCAAAAAATAACTTTCTTTCTGTACATTGGTACATTTTAGAAGTGACAGTCAAATCACTATTTGGTTAAAGTAGCCTAAAACTAGACAATGGTTGGTGTTGACTGGATGTCTTCCCTTAAGTCGGTCACTTCAAAATTAGGGATGGCTAGTACAGATAGCCCTGGAGTAGGTTTGCTTGAAATTCAGACAAACAAAGAAATCTATAATTGTCATTATTGTTATGCTTTATCTAAGTTATTTAATTTAAAATATTTTCTAAATTAATTGTGAATTTTTATTTTCTTTAACGTATATACTTTCTTTTCAGCTTAAGAAACTAATAGTAGTAATACCATAGAACCTGCTTCAGGCTGTAGAAGATAGTCACAAAATTTTCATATTGATAAAAATGCTACAGGTCTTCCTTCAGGCTGTATAAGGTATTGCAGTAAAGTCACAAAATTTGCATCTTGATTATAATTCATAATGAGATTTAGTCCAGGCCTTAGTACATATTGTAGTAAAGTCACAAAATTTGCATCTTGATTATAATTCATAATGGGATGTAGTCCAGGCGTTAGTACATATTGTAGTAAAGTCACAAAATTTGCATCTTGATTATAATTCATAATGAGATTTAGTCCAGGCCTTAGTATGTATTGTAGTAAAATCACAAAATTTGCATCTTGATTATAATTCATAATGGGATGTAGTCCAGGCCTTGGTACGTATTATAGTAAAGTCACAAAATTTACATCTTGATTATAATTCATAATGGGATTTAGTCCAGGCCTTAGTACGTATTGTAGTAAAGCCAAAAAAAATTGGATATTTGTTAGCAATGCTACAGAATTTACATTAGACTTCAAAAAAGGAAGGTATTGGTAGTAAAGCCAAAAATTTGCGTATGAGTTTAAAAATATATAATAATCCTACAGTCCCAATGCTCCAGATATTATTAATAATTAATAAGGAAAATTAAGTCAGTGATAGTTTGGATTTGTCATCATGAAAGTTTAGCTCTAAAACATCTGCAACAAAAACGAAAGTTAAAAACCAACCAAGAATTTAGTTATACAGAGAAACAGAAGTATTATAATGTGTTACTGAAGGTTAGGGTAACTGTATATGAAACATGCATTATTTAGTGTTGTATAGAAGACCAAGTTGAATAGCTTTACAAGGTGTTATATCTTTTGTAACTTATCTACTAAGCTGTTACTGATTATTGAGATAGCCCCTTGTCATTATATAGCATGATATATAATATACAGAATGTCACTTTGTTTCCTCAAGTTTTTTCCTTTGTTAAGTTAAAGTCATTGTTCATAGATCTCTACCAAGGTATCACCAGATGACGTTGACAGCTTCCTAAACAAGATACAGTACGATGTCTGAGAAATCTTTAACATTGCCATGTGATAGTTTGACATCCCCACAAACGTGTCAGACCTTGCTGAACAGACATTCCCTAGAAAGTTAAATATCGTATGGTACTCTAATTACACAGCTGGAAAATAAAGTGTCTAAACCTTTCTCTGAACTGTCCAGTCAACTTCTTGAACCTTGCTCCGAAAGTATCAAACATGTCACGAAGGAACTTAACATTAAATCCTGTTATTTTTGTCCGATACACAGTATATCTTTTACTGAAAGTTCGGAAAGAAACATATATTTTCTTTTCTTCTTTGATGGTCCTCTGTTTATTTTGTATTGTTCAAACATTACTAGATGTTTCCTATCAAAAATGCATCTGATATTTGTTTCTCAGAATGTAAATTTAAACTTCTAGAAAATTATCTTCACTTCATAATAGCTTTGTCACTCTTATTATTATTATTATTTTACTTCTGATTGTTAAACCATTTTTATTTAGACTTAATATAATCATTTATATAAAATAAAATTGATTGAAAAAATAATTTTATTGATTTCAGCATTGTAACCCGAAGTACTCTCAACATATTCTGTCAAATTGTAACGAAGTAAAATAATATATAAAATTTATCATTTATTCACTGAACAAATCTGGAGTGTTCTGAAAATTAATTTTTTTCGACTTTTTGATTATAAATATAAAGAGCAATGAAAGATTTTGTTGTCACCTTCACTGTTTGAAAACATGTTCTGAAAAATAACCATCAAAACATCAGTTTTCTATTTATGAAAATATTAACTATGTTATGAATGATTATTTCTATCGAAAATACATCCTGATAACTTAAGGCTGTGTTTCATGAGACATAAGTGTGTTTTCATTATGATTTTTTTTATAATTTTTCACTTTTTGTGAAAAACTTGGATATTTTAATTTGAAAAAAAAAAATCTTGCATTATTATTACTAGTGCATCATGTTCCAAAATATAGATTTGTTTTTGGTTTGAGTCTGATCTAAAATCAATTTTGACATTAACATTTTGTTTTAATATATTTCTCTTCATGGTGTTTGTTCATTATTCATATAAATTCGATAGAGTATTGTTGTTGTTTTTCCTTAGCATCTTATGTTATTATTGTAATATGATTTAAAAAAAAAATATATGATTGTTACTTTTGGTGTTTTTCTGTACATTGTTAATTTGCTGGTTGTTTCTTATTATTTTTCTATCTTGAAATTTAAAATATTGGAATTTATCATTATTGTTAACTGTTCCAAAAATCTGAAGCCTTGACAGACACTGTAACTTGTAGGCTATTACTAATTATATCATTCCAGTTTTTCTTTATTATTTTTTGTCTTTTGATATAGAAAACCCTTTCCTAATTACTATTTTTGTATGCCATCTTTTTATTATTACTATTCCATCTTTAAAATCTAAAACTTTTGTAATTTAGCACTTGGAGTTACTAGTGATGCCTCTGGTACTTCTAAACTTTCCAATTTTTACGTTTTTCTCATCTTCCGTTCTTCTAAGCCTAATATTAGCTACACTGTTTGCGTTAATGAATGCCTAAAAGGAGTAGTAATCTGTAACGTATACTTGCTGTTGTCTTCTGTTCGTAATGATTGAAAGCAAATTGATTTGAAACTGTTTACACGAGATGACTTGTAAAAATTCATTTTTACACAGTGTTGAAACTTGTTTGTTTTTCTAATGCTTTATTCATACTCGAAGGTTAACACTACTTTCAGAAACGTTAGTACTGATATTAACCGTTTTATGAAGTGGTGCCTTGAAAATACATGAAACTTCTAGGTTTAGTTTAACCTTTATTACTTACTATGCCACCTGTTATTATTTTTATGATGCAAGTGTTGTTGTTTTTTACTTTTTCATTGTACATTAAGTCATTTTAATTCGTGCTTTGCCTTTGCGTAGGACTTTATATCATTTTATAAGTTTTTTGTTGTTGTTGTTGTTCATGGAGATTAATACGAAGATATTTTAACTTTGTTCATTTCTTCTAAAAAGATATATGTTCGGCTGAAATTTCGATACTGTAACAAAAAACTGTTTTTTATCGTTTTAGCGCCATCTGTGTTTTAAAGAAATAAGAAACTTGTGTTTTGTTTTACCATTCTCAGCTTTTTGATTTGCTGTTCTGTTTTGCTGTGTACATGTTCAGAGCGATTTCTTTTATTTTTCTATTGTAACATTGTTATTTTTATGTGGCTAAGTTTATCTCGCTATAAGAATAAAAGTTACAATAAATGGCGCTAATCTGCAATATTAAGTTCATTAATTCCTCAGGTTTTCTGTAATTAACAACTAGGCCAAATGGTTTCTTTGTAGGTGTGTAATGCAAAATATGAATTCATAATTTGTTGTCGAGAGTATCTCAAGTGAAATACTGAAACGTGTCATCAGCCACACACTATTATTATATATGTTTGTGACAGTTTTGGAGATTATTATACCAGTCAGTTACGATAGTACGTAAACTACGAGTGTAAGTATTGTAATGTTTTCAAGAATAAACAGCTTAAAAATCGTAATAGAATTTTTTCGTGCATAATGAAGTACTTGCATGTTTCCTTGTCGAACTAGACTCAGTGTAGTATATAGCGTTGTTTGTGCAGAACTGTAACTTGTACAGATTATAGTACGATGGATAAAAGTTGGTAGTTTTCCTTTCATTTTTCAAATTTTGTAACGTATTTTGAAACAAGTTCTTCATAAATAAATCTTGTAATCATGCACTAAGTTCTCGTCTACATCACCACCTCTGGAAAAGAAGATTTTCACCTTGCCTCTGCCTACCTTCTTTACAGATTCTTCTTTCTTAAAAAAAACTCATCATCAAAGTTTATAATCGCGATAATGACCACTGTAGTAAACTAATCTCACGCGTGGCCTTGAAGAGGAACAACCATTCGTCATCACCCCTGTTGGGAAGAGCAGGCAACTATCGTGTTGCTTTCTCTTCCTTCAAACTAAATTCCAACCACGTTTAGTTTGTGTGTGCACTAAACCCCATCTGCCAGCTAAATAATCATTGGGGTTCGATTCCCTGCGGTGAACAGAGTTCAGACAACCTATTGTTTAGCTATGAACTAAGAAATCAGCAGCATAAATAATGAGTATAACTATGGATGAATAAACTTCAATTGTTGTATGGACTTTTTATTTATCTACGATGGTATATTGAAAGTTTTGATTGAAATACAAAGTATTAAAATATATAACTTATTGTTTGCAAGACTATTATGTAGCGCGTGTATTGGGAATTCTAAGTAAGAAGACAATTCACCTTTTGCGTTTAACTTGAACATTTCGGTTTTTATCTTGCTATATGACATTATAATTTTTCTGCATAACAGATACATTTCATAAAATGAATAAGAGTTAATATGAGCTTCAGTATGAAATACAACAAACTTTTTTTTAATGTAGTTTCCTGCAGCTTTTGTAAACGTTACAAATATTGTTTAGATGCCATGTAATAGGTATATTAACTTGAAATACATTGTGTTTGCTAAATCGTATTCGATCCTTTTGCATTTCGTCAATTAAAATTCGAAATTGCATATTTTAATATTATTGTTTAATTGGTAAGGCACCGCCTAATATTCAGCAACAATTTTAATATTTACGTTGGAAAGTTATTACATTGACCAACCATTTTGTATTTTAGGGTTAAGTAGGCATCCATCTCTAAAGAACAGCAACACAGTAATCAATGTTTTTTACTGCAATGAAACTTGCATCGAAAGTAACAGGAACGTCAGAAAATAAACTGTTAAGTAAATCAAACTTATCTTTGTTTGAAAATTTTTTTGGTGTACAAAACTTGAAGATAGCTTTTATATGCGGAAACATCTGTTATCTGAGTTCTTGCACGGATCTCAAAATATAACGTTGATAAACGGAAACATCGGCACATGTAGATACGTAGATCTTGAAAGTCGAGTTGTTCAAAACTTGAAAAAAGCGTTGATAACTGGACTAATTGTTGGTTGAGATGTTGCAAAGGAAATATCTGCTGAAACTTTTCGCCAGAAACTAATCATAGTAGAACCGTCTGGAAAATGATCTATAGGAAATAGTACAGCTTATGAAATGAGTCAGATCAACGTAGGCCGATAAGGCAATCACTGATTGACATGTCCTTGAGCCAATCAGGAAATATCACAGACCTACTGAAGGATGTGTAGATTGTATAGGAATTCTTTTTGGCGGCAAAGGACAGGTTTATGTGTTTTATTAAAGGTGGCTTCCAAAATATAGAGATGAAAGATTGACAGACCATTTGCAATAATTTTAAACCTGCTATCCGTGTAGTTGTCAGTACAAGTCGGGTTCACTAGTAAATGCTGGCCAATCGCTGATTCACATTTTGGTGGTAGAACTTTTGTTTTACAGGAGAGACATGGTAAATTATTTTCTTTCACACTTTTATTTCTTATGAATGTGGGTACATGTTGTTTAATTCTATCCTGCAGTCTTTGTGAAGTGCGACCTACGTACCGACATTCGCAGTGGCACGAGAATTCATAAATAACCATACTTTTCTGTGTGGTAGGTATCGCAACTTTGTGTGTTGCAGGCAACAACTTACGTGTGAAATAAGTACAGTAGGGGTTCACTGCAGGAAAGCATTTAGTAATGGCCGTTTTCGGTTGTTTTTCAAATTTTGTTGAAATGTTACCAATGCATGCTAGTTTTAGATAAACAGGACACTTGTTAGGACCAAATTTTGGGGCAGTTGAGAAGCTCGCAATTTTCCTTGAAGTAATTTGATTGATGTCGTTTTCTGGATACCTATTTTCTAGTAAATAGTTTTAATTGTCTTCATTTCGAAATCTAGTTTAGATTTTGAACAGATAACTATAGCCCGATAGACTAAAGTAGCAATAAGTTTCGTTTTGCGACTTTTAGGACTGAAAGAATCCCATCGTGTGTATTGTCCTGTAAAGGTAGGTTTTCTATATATACTGGTGAGAAAATGAAAGTCATCTTTTTCAATTAAGACGTCTAGGAACGGTAAAGAGTTATGTTGTTCCTTTTTGAACGTAAATTTGAGAGCCGAGTGCAACTAGTTTAGGTCTTGTAAGAAACACTCACATTCCTGTTCAGTTTTAGAAATGGCAATTGTGTCGTCTTCATAGCGGAAGTAAACAGCAGGTCTGGTAACTTTGTTGAATAGTTCTTTTTCATGGAAACCAACGAAAATATTGCCTAAGTCAGGTCCAAGAGGAGAACCCATGGCGATTCCGTCAATCTGTTGATACAAGATATCATTAAAGCTGAATTTCACCGAACGTGTCGCAGTATTCATTAGTTCAATAAATAGGTCCTTAGGTATTGGAGGGCACTGAACTTCGCCACCATACGTTTATCAACGTTATATTTTAAGATCTGTGCAAGAACTCAGCTAACAGATGTTTCCGCATATAAAAGCTATCTTTGTTTGTAATTCTTCTGCATATCTTATGCCTGATAATTGTAATTCATCACTTAAATACCTGTCTCTTCTTGATCTTTCCACCGTCTCATCAGTCACTTCGATTAATATTTTCGCTATCGTTTCGATCACATGTCATTTTGAAGTTGCCTTCATTTTTAACAAAATAGCTCCACTTTTGATTAGGGTCTTCTAACAGTTTCTAGCTTCGGGCAGGTTTTATTATTATTCAGTACAAAGAAAAGTGCAGAATCCAGTCTACTTAATGATAACTAAACTATTTTATTTCTTGAATTTCAAGTACTTTATGTGTGCCTAATTAATGTTCACTGATGGGCCTGAGCACACATTAGTATGGTTGACGCTAACGCAGCAATTTCACTTACTTGCTAATTTTCCTTCGTACGTACGGTATTTTCTTGTATCTCATGTACTTCACAAAATTAAAGTAACGTACAACTGACTAACAAATTCTAACTCCATCTCACCATCGTAATCCTCGCTAATCAATCCATGATTTGCAGTTTGACTCGTGTTTTGTATCGTTGAAATCGTTTCTTAAACTTAAAAAAAAACGTTATAGTCGTTAACCTACGAACTTATCACGTAGCGTAAAAAACTCCTTGTAGCAAAAAATAATACACACGTTTAATTAGAAGTACAACCTACGACAAAATAAATTGATATTCTAATAAGTCAAACACGTTAAATACAAGAATTCTTCTAAATGAATACTATGTATGTAATACTCACTAATGAAATCCAATCTAGCGCGTTTTGTGGCGTTTAAATTGTTTCTTACACTTTCAATAGAGTTCTAATCATTAAGTCAAGTGCTCATCAAAAAACAATACGAACGTTTAAATTTAAAGAAGAAAAACGTAGCATACAATAATACTGTTACGTCACTGTTCGTTTGTTAATTTCCCATAAAAATACTTTCCGAAGAAACTTTAGCGATACAAGTCCTTTCTTAAATAAAACTAGTTTATTCTTTTTCAATACAACT